AGCTCCCTCCCTTCCCTTCTGGAGCAGCAACAGGCAATAGTTTCAGCACAGACAGTGCTTGGCTTTCTTAGGTTTGCTGGGTGCAGCTTAAGAATTAACTTGCTCTTTTAAAAAAATGTATTTTGAAGATTGGGAAACTCACCAGAGCAGTTACTGGTAGAAATCTCTAGTGTGAGAGCAATGACCTCCAGTTCCCTGCACCTCACTGAGCTTTGCATGATGAGTTAACTCTGCTGCCTGATTTAGGGGCAGCACAGGCTACAGTTCACACGTACATAAAAGTTAAAACCAGTACTTAACTCTAGGAAATTGAGATTTTACTTGCTGGTTTCTAGTTATAGTTGTATTCCCTCCAATGCAAATAACAGCGCTTTAAAATCTTTTTTCTAGACAACTTTTATCTAGGAGTATTGGTGTACCTTACAGATTGATGCTTTGAGCTTCCCAGCCTCCCAGTAAGAGACATATTGTCTGACATAGGGACTGCCATGGGATATTCTCAGCCAATGTTAGAAGGGATTTGAACCCAGCAGCCTGCTTCTGCATTTTTATAGTAATGCGGACCTACAGCTACCTATGCAATGATTTTACTCCAAGAACTATTTGCAATAGCAGGGAAGTTTAAAAAAAAAAGAGAAAGAAAAAAAGAAGGATAAACCTAGCATTTAATTTTTATAATTCTCCTCATCTCTTTCTATATTGTATTATTAAATGCATTTTTAAGACTTTCTCTTGAAGGAGAAAGAAGGTATATTCATTTTGAGCCATTATTTCATATTGTTCATTAGGTAGTGATTAAAGTGCTTTTAGAGTGATTTATCTATATTTCAAACTCCTACAAGAAAGGTGGGCCTGAAAAAGCATCTTGTTTGAATATTGTGAGATTTGAGCTGTGATGGAGAGAATACAACAGCTTTGGATCTTTCCAAGAGAACAACGTTCTCCATGTCTCGTGAGTTCAAATTTTGTTTTCTGCACCATTTCCTCAAATACTGTTAATATGGTGAGGTATGGGGAAAAAAAAAGTATGGAGATATCAGGCTATAATTTCTTCCTTTAAAGAAAAGGACCAAAGAATCCAGATAAGTTCCAGAACTTTAATGTGATGTCTTCTAAGAAGACACACCAGCATTTTGTATCAAATGCAGTTTCTGAATGGGTTTTGTGCGTTGCAAAACCCAGTTTAGAAAAAGTACGTTGAATAAATCATCTTTGATAACTGGGTTAGAAAAATGTCCCCAGTGATCTGGTTAGTAAAAGGTGGAAGGTGGCACTGCTGCTACTCTTTTGCTCTGCAGAATAAAGAGCAGCTCTAGGACTAATGATCATTCTGGCTGAAAACAGGAACTGAGTGAAAATGACATTACAGTTCGCAGCAGCTTCTTGTAATTTTTTCCTGTTCTCAACCTTTGTCATGCCAGTCCAGTTGGGACTGGCCTTAAGTAACCTGCTTGCTTTGTTCAGGTCCTCATTTCACAGAAAGACCTATGCAGCATCAGCAAAACTTTATTGTCCATATTTGCGTAGAATTAGATGCAGAATGAAGGGCCAGAGAAGAGCTACAAAGTTTAACAATAATAATGTTCCCCAAAGGTCTCACATTTATGAAATGACAAATATGAGCCCTTTGAGAGTTTGCAGCTTGGACAGATGCTGGGGAAATACAGTAGCTGCACATGACAGCCATCAGAGATCTAGAACAAAAGTGAATGGAGGTGTCTTCAATTACATCTGTCCATTTCTGCCAGGTGTGAAGGTGCATGGGAAGTTCCTTTGATCAGCAGAGTTAACTGCTGATGAATATTCCACTGAGATTGATAAGCCTGTGGGTCACTGGGTAAGCGCTCTGACAAAATCATGGATCCATGTACTCTATTGCCTCAGAGCACAGATATGGGAATTTAATCATGTTGAACTTGATTTACTCTATCTCCTCTGTGAATTTGTCCAACAAAAAGATGTCTGAATCTAGATATAATTCTAAGAGCATTAATATCCCTGTTTACTCTCTCACCTTTCCCATTTGTCATGCTCCAGGCATCTCTTTCTGTTCTTTGTAAATAGTTTGGGGCACAGAGTTCATGTGTGTACATGAACATATATATACATATACAAGCTATCACATGTACACAGGCTGTTGGATGCTTCCGGTATGTTGGGAGGCATTAGCAAATTAGATAATCCCTAAAGGCCTTCACCACCTAGCAAGGCAAAGCACAGTCCTATTCTCGACAGACTTGCTTCTCAGAGGACTGGTCCTAAATCAAAGACAATGAGAGTTCCTCATTCCATTATCTTTTTGTCAGAGAAACTTTTCCCAAAGTTTACAGTGTGTCATTCTCTCCTTTCCCGCAAACTAACCTGCAGCAAGAACTACCAGTATTTAGATAAAGGGCTTGCAGATCATTTCTCCAAGTTCAAGCTGCAAGAACCCTGTACTGGGAGCAAAGTCAGTTCAAAGGAGAAACTGAGAAAGTTATTGGTAACTATTACATTTAGACCTATTTACTAAACACCCCTATACATAGTCATGCTACTACCACTGGCAAATGCTGAAAACTTCTAGGAACAAAGTTCAAGAAACTGAAAGCTTGTCCTTTTGACAGCAGATGGCTGTTAGTGCTTCAGTCACCGGATAATGTCTTGTAGTGAAGTATTCTTCATCTGGGTTTCCGTGCTATCCAAGTGGTGAAGTTTCTCAAGAACATGCAGATTTTGTTGGAGACCCATTCAATCAGAATTTGTAATCCCAGTGGCTGAACCATAATACGTATTTTTACTCCAAGTATGAAAAAGATCCAGACTAGTTTGTGTCCGTCTGTGTGGCACTGGAGAGACTGGATGGGAGATTCGGGTTGCCTTGTATGTGAAACCACTGCTTGTGAAGACAGCTTGTGTTTTAACTAGGACCTGCTCAAAGAATGTCACAGTGCAAGTAATGTTGAAAGATGGCACACACCTGTATTGACCCTCCCATATTAAGTAGTGCTCTGCTTTACTGGGATCCTAGCTGTTCGTCTTTAGTGGAAACGTGGAGTGGAGTGAGTGAGAAGTTCTCCAGAGCAGAACGCTCCTGAGTCAAAAGACTGTGAAAGTCTTTTCTGTACTTCTGTCTGGCAGCTAGAGTCAGTCTGTCAGAAAGGAGGTAGGCATTCTTGCTCTTCACTGAGTTCCATGTTTGCACATGACTGGAGGGTACTTTGAGAGGTAACATAAAAGATGACACAGGACTTGGGCATATTATAGTATAACAAACCTGTGGAACTTCCTACTGAAGGAGACATGGGAAACAATGGTGTCCAAGAAACTTTTGAAAAGTACACAAATACAAAGAAAAGAGACAGAGTAACAGGTGAGCAGCACAAATCACAAGACCTGCTATTATAGTGCTTTGAATTGTGTTGCTCCTCTCTGATTCTGCAGCTACCACGTAAACATTTCCACTCAGCTTCTTCCCTCAAGCCCTCAACTACTGTAGTTTGCCATGAACTGTGTAAGAGACTACAAGTACCACAAGCGAGTATGCAAGAGCCCAACACTACACAAACATGGATTGCCCAGCTAGCTGCTGCCTTGTGGCTGCCAGGCAAGCCTAACAGCCTGTACTTCCTTGTTGGCAGACCAAACAAATAGCTTCAGGAGCTGCAGTCAATCCTTGGACTTCCTGGGGGAGACCTGTTGTAGGAACTTGCGGTGTTAAAGCCTTTCAGTCCTTTGTCAGATGTGACTAAAATTGGCCAAGAGTCACAAGTGAGTGGGAAGGGGAGAACTGGCAGCTGACAGCAATCACAGAAGCCCTTCCCCAGGCTAACCATGACATGAGTAAGCATGAGTCATAGCACAAATTGATGAGCCTAAAATTATCTACAAGGATGAATACTGCCTAACTGGCCCAGCACATTATGGGCTTTCTGCTTACTCTGGAATTGGCAGATTTTGGCTTTGGGTGCAGATAGGCTGACTGCTTGACTCCAGGCCAGTAGTAGCCTGACAGCTCCAACTGCAATTTTTTAAAAAATTTGGGTGTGCTCCTTTTTTTTTAAATGGAGATTCAGCAGGAACCTTCTTCCCTATATTGTAGCCTTTAGGCACTACCGATTTGGTGCTGAAGCTGGTATTTTCTTCTCCTGGAAGCTCCTAGCCCTCCAGCATTGAATCCAAGCCAATTCTTCATCCCCCTCCCCTCTGGCATAGTTCCCAGGCTGTCATGTTAGATGCAAAATAAATACTCAGTGGCTCAGAGCTCCTTGTATCCAGAAGAAACTGCATTTTCACACTGGCTCTGAACCTCCTCTGCAGAGCCAAAGCAAAACTAATGTGGAAACTAATCCCTTTGCCCCTACCACGCACATCCTCTTCAATGGTGGAGCCAAGAAAGACTGAAGAGAATTAAACTTTTCTGTAAATTTCTCAGAGATAGGAAATACCCTGCTTTTCACTTTCTCCCTCTTTCCCAGTCACTGTATCAGGAAAGTGCCTCTTCCCACTACTAATGCTAAAAGTTTATTTTAAGGACAAATTTCATACCTACGTAGGATTGCTAGAGCTCATCTTGGCTCTCTATAACTATTAGCTAGACCAAGTAGGTGACAGAGCTTGTTAGAGTAACTGCTGCCCACCCAGAAACAGCCAAGAATAGCTGGAGCCTCTCCTGGGGATCAACTATACAAGTCTGGAGCTCAAGGGGTCCCTTCCTGTGACGCATATGACATTACCATCATAGCCATGGAAATATGCTACTATGTGAACTGAGACACAGACATCTGGAAACTAGGGCAGCCTGTAGTGCTGAAGTGACAAAAGAAAAAAAGAGCATCAAGGTTTCTGGTCTCCCTGACTTCCCTCTTTTCAGGTGTCACAAACACCAGTGCAGCCTCGTGCACTGTTAACTGGTCAGGCAAAACCCACGGCAGTCCTTCTTTCAGCTTAGGGATAGCTTGTTCCAGGAACGCTGCCTCTTTCTCTTGTCCAGTGATTCACTTGCACATCTTCTCGCACAGGCTCCTGGAGTGTCCAGCTAGAGAAGGGAGGTGCTGTGGTGGTGCTGCGGAGCCTGCTGTGGCTGGGACTGACGTTCTACCATGTCCCAATGACCAAGCAATACGGCTACATCTACTTTGGCACTGGTGAGAAGAACGTGGATCTGCCCTTCATGCTGTGACTCTCCTGTCTGCCACAAGGACTCAAGAACTAAAGAACATTTTGATTTTATTGTTAGATTTTTGTTTACTGCTTGTTCTAATAAATGTGTGAAACCTCTGCACTTCGAGCAGGATTCTTTTGTACCTGGACTCTGGCCCCGATTCTTTTGCTGGGACTTCACTGAATGCAATCTTCCCGCAACTCCAGACTGAATTCCCTGTAATGTGTCACTGCAGATCCTTTAGATGGTAACAAATGGCATTTTCTTCCATGACAGGTGAAGCTCTAGGTCAGAAATCAAAACTAGGCCATCTGTCTGATTACAAAGACACCTCATTTACACAAGAACTAATTTGGAGACAATATGAACGAATACCTGCTGTCACCCACGAATGGCAAAAACAGAGTTGGAGTCAGAGTAGAAAGCAGATGGATATTGTAAGGGATCTGTACTAAACCCTGAATTCTGGAAAGGCATATCGAAGAGAGAACAGTATTTAGTTTTTCAGATGTTAGGTTTCACCAAAATTAGAGGGGTCATGGAATCACAGAATATGCTGAGTTGGAAGGGACCCACAAGGATCATTGAGCCCAACCCTTAGCCCTGCTCAGGACCATCCCCAAGAGTCACACCGTGTGCCTGAGAGTATGATCCAAATGCTTCTTGAACTCTGTCAGGCTTCATGCCATGACCATTTCCCTGGGGAGCCTGTTCCAGCACCCAAACACCCTCTGGGTGCAGAACCTTTTTCTAATATCCAACCTAAACCTCCCCTGACACAAATTTAGGTTATTCCCTCAGGTCTGTCACTACTCACCACAGAGAAGAGACCAGTGCCTGCCCCTCCTCTTCCCCTCATGAAGAAGTTGTCAACTGCAACGAGGTTTCCTCTCAGTCTCCTCTTCTCCAGGCTGAACAGACCAAGTACCTCAGCCGCTCCTTATACAGCTTCCCCTCAAGGCCCTTCACCATCTTCATTGCCCTCCTTTGGACGCTAACAGCTTAATATCTTTCTTATATTGCAGTGCCCAAAACTGCACACAATATCCAAGGTGAGTCTGCCCCAGTGCAGAACAGAGCAGGACAATCCCCTCCCTCAACTGGTTGGTGATGCTTTGCCTGATGCCCCCCAGGACACGGTTGGCCCTCCTGGCTGCCAGGGCACTGCTGACTCATATTCAACTTGGCATCGACCAGGACCCCCAGGTCCCTTTCTGTGGCACTGCTTTCCAGCATCTCATTTCCCAGTCTGTCTGTACATCCAGGGTTGCCCCATCCCAGGTGCAGAATCCAGCACCTTCCCTTGTTGAACTTCATATAGTTGGATTTTTCCAGCTCATGGCACTGAACTGTAGAAAAAAAAATAGCTGTGGGCATCACCTGGTCTTTTGTAACATGTGCTCATTTAAGTTCATCTCAAGGCAATGATTTAATCCAGTGACTTTTCCATTAGCAAAGCTTGCTGAGCAGAGCTAGAAGACATAGAAACTTCTGTAGGTAGTAGAATAAAGAAGAATCTTTTCCTTTCTGAAGAGCTGTAGGTTTCAAAGCTTTATAAAACAGAGACAGTCAGCCACAGATTTTTTCTCAATATACTTAATGAAGTCTTGGCTCTGTCTCCCAAAGCACAAGGTCTTGGCCAGCTCAAGGGGCTGAATCTAGGGCTTCCATTTTGCAAAATAAGGCTAAAAAGAATCATTTTATTCTAATTTGATTTCCTGGATAATATGGGTTTATCCTTACCTTTTGTTCCTGCCCATGCTGTAAGGTATTAGCAGATGATTCTGATAAAAGCAATTCAAGGTTAAGTGGTGTAGTACATAAAAAACTGTGCTGTTTTATAGCCCCCAGATAAATACTGAAGAAATGGAACCAAATCAGTAATGACCCTGATAAATTTAATGAGCCTTTCATACCAGGCCCATAAGCAGCAGTGGACAGTAGGTGGAAGGTGCATATGTGTACTATACAGAGAGAGAAACGGTGCCACCTTTTATTACAAGATGGACGATAAGGCACATCTATCAACTCCCAAGCTATCCTAGGAAGCAACCATATCACTGACATGGAAGACTTATGACAAATGTATTTGCAAAGTAGAAAAAACAGGCCAAGTCATCAAGGATGTCAACACTGTGTATTTCTCAGATCCAGGAGTGAAGCACAAGCCAGGAATCCTTAAGGGGATACGTAAGACACATATACCTGTCTGCCACGGCCACAGGTGTTCTGCTGCAAATGATGGATAGTACAGATAATAATAATAAAAAAATTAATTTCAGTAGTCATTAACAATTTCTGTTACTGCCAAGGAAACCTAGTGCTGAGGGGACTTTTTCTTCCATCAGCATCACAGCCCAAATTGTGCAAATCTGAGTTGAAACATGTTAATTGGGAAACACCATTCACTGATGGAAAAAGAAGGAAACATCCTTTCCCAAACCCATATGTGGAACATAAACAAAAGCCTTCAGATCCTTTCTGGCTTTGAGGCGAAAGTCTTTGCCCTTTGCTTTCTTCAAATCATTCTGCACTCTGAACTTTGCTTTGATGGATCTTGTATTCTAGAGGAACAAATCACAACTGGACACAATATAGAGTACCAAGGACAATTTTGGAATAAGAAAATTGGAGATATTGACAAACTTGGAAAAATAAAAAAGCAGACCAGTGCAAAACATGTGCTTACTAACTATGCCAGTTCTGGCCACTAGTGGTTTAAAGAGACAGGCTTTCGTGTATATTTTACATTATCCTTCAGCAAAGGGTGTCCGATTGGAAAGGGCTTTTTGCACCACTTAGGGCCCCTCTTCCAGATGGGCTTTGCAGATCTGATGGACCAGCGGGTCAGGTACCTGTCAAAACAACACAAACATGTTTCAGTTGGAGACTGATCACTGAGAAAAGGTTTCAACTGAAGCAGAAGCAGGCACTGTAGCCTTTGCCTCCCCACATGCCTATTTATAAAAGGAATAAGCATGAGCAGAGCTCTCTTAATTCAGAAGGGACTACTGGAAAGCAATTTTTGTTTGTTTTGGAATTTCTAAGCTCACCTCTGTACTGAACCCACTGGCACCTGCTTGACTTTCAGTCTCACAAAGCAAATCAGGTGTAGTCTCCAGGCTGCTGGCAAGTTGTCCACCTGCAGCTAAACTGGAGTGCCAAATCCCATCATTGCAACTAAGTCCAAGATTAAATGCATTCAACCTCTAGGGGAAGTGTTATTTCAACAGCTGGTCTCAACAAGGTAAACTAATTACAAAGGCTAAATGCTGTGAGAAATAAAGTCTTTAAAAAGGGATTAATTTACTTTTGGGGGATAATTGGTTATTTCTTATGCATGGAATGGATTTCTGTCCTAGTCTTGTATTTTCATATGTCCAAATTTGCTCTAGTGTTCTCTGTACAACAGTATTGTTGCAGCTTGCTGGTGCAGGAAGTCAACACCTACAGTGTAAGAGGTATTAGAATGGAATTATCATCACAACTACAAATCTCTGTGAAGAGTAATGTCTGGCAAATATCCTCTGTTTTTTACCATTTGAAGTTTTAGACCTGGCTTTGCAAACAGGCAGGGGATTTCAGATCCAGAATCAGTTACTGGAAATCTTACCCTGTGACTGGGTGGCCTGGAGTTTTGTTAGGCTTTAAATCTTTTGCTACCAGTAGAGAGGGGAACAGAGGTCCTTAGAGAAAGAGGAGTCTTTTCAGACAATAAAGATCCAAAGTAAAACCCTAGCATAATCTGCACAAACAATGCTCCAACAAATTAGAATTTGGAACAGACTGATAAACTTTGTCCAGAGATGTTTGCATGCCTCTGTTGAGTAATCCCATGGTCTTAATGTAACCTCAATCAGTCATCCTCTCCCCAAACAGCTTTGTTACCTTTTATTTGCATTGTGCAAATTTGAGATATTAAGAACTTTGGATAGAGACTATGTAATGCATTTGTTTGAAGGTATTTGGGACATTCCTAAGAACTACAAAGAAAGCTTGCTATGCCAGGCAGCTACAGAGTATGTAACAGCCCATCTTCCTAGCCCTTTTATTCCTCAGCACTCCCAAACAGCACAAACTGAAAAATTAATCACATGTGGAGATTCCTGCCTCTGAAATGAAGCCACTTCCAAGATGCTTTGCTTTTGCTTTGAGGAGTTTACCATAGTTAAAACACGTAGACGCAACAGCAGGAGGGGTCTGGGTGACGACACAGAGCAAGATCCAACTACTTCTTCTCCTATTTGTGCCTTCAATTAGTCCCTTTTGACCTGTAATGCTATGCTCATGCATTAGTGGAATCCCTTACATAACAACTTTGGGACAGGAAGTAGGAGAGAGTCTCCTGTCTCTAATTTCACATGCAAGGAGAGTTCAGAGAGACCAAACGCAGGTCCCTAGTTCGGAATCTGGCAAAGAACCACAGCAAGGCAACTCCTCTGGGAGAAGCTGTGGGGGTGTTAGATGGGCACATGGGCTAGGTCCTTCTTTTCATATTCCCCGTGCTGCAGGGGGACAGCTGTAGCACAAGTTTTGGTATTGCAAGACTGCACTTACAGCAAAGGAGGAAAAAAAAATCCCAAACTGTTTTAATGCATCAGTGTGCCAAGTGCAGTTCTGGTCACGTGTCCACATGATTACGGGAAAGTGTTCCCGTGATAATAAATGATCTCACTGGGAGAGAAGTGAATGTGTGAATGTGAGATACACATCAATGCTGTGTGCAGGTTTAGACAGACAGTGGCTTTTTAAGAAATCCCTCTGTTTCTGTGTGGGGGCTGGAAGTGCACACCCCAATTCTGCATAGGAAGGAGGATTTAGTAATGGCCTGATTTTAAAGCTTTTGTTATTTCTCTTTTGAGCAGGTCTAATCCAGCCCTCTGGTCCAGGCTTTTGGCTTCCTTTGGGGACTGCAGGCTGGGGCTTTTCATTGTTAACTGAAACAGACATTTGGACGCTTTCCCTTCCTGGAGCACATTTGGTTTTAGGGCTTTTAATACTTGCTTTGTCCCAAACTCAAACTTGTCCTATTTTGTTTGCTGGCTTTTTTTTTTTTTTTTTTTTTTTTTTTTTTTTTTTTTTTTTTTTTTTTTTTTTTTTTTTTTTTTTTTTTTACCTTG